AGAACTTGCGCACCTGATGGCAGTTTTTTAATATCCAGCATCTTGGGAGATACTTCAAACAATCTTCTAAAGCTTTGGAGCAGCAGGTGGCAAGAGAAGCAAGATTTTATGGATCATTGATAAGGTAATTTTCATACACTTTTAAATTTTATTTTACAAAATTTGAACTTACATTTAATGAACAAATAGACTACAAAGGAACTGGAAAGTGAAAAGGCAGCGTATAGGACTATCTGGTCCCGGCAGTGAGAGCTTCACAATTGATCTTCTTGATAACTCAACAGCAGAGTTTAATTTGTCACATCGGTCATCGAATTTATCTACAGTTCGCATCGACCATGATCCTGCTGGAATTCTGACTGTACAGTTTCCTTCGAAGTTGTGTCGAACTTTGTCTGTCCAATTTCCAGGATTCCGTTCAAGACGGAATCAGAAGAGCTTTGTTAAAGGGAAAATGCTTGAGTTACCCCATTGCCGTGAGGAAGATGAGAAAGAGGCTTTGACAGATGAAAATGTCAACGAACACGTCAAGGATTCACATTTAATTCTCCGTGAAATACATCGGTCGATTTTTCAAGAGCAGGTGGTTTCCTTCGTAACGATATATATTGAAAAAAGTGTTAAAATAGTCGTTTGACTTTTTAAAAGGATGCTATTTTTGTCTAGAGTTTATAAAAGTTTTAATTTAGTCCCTAGATTCTTTTAACACGGGAAGAAATAGTCCCTAGGTAGAATTACTTCAGCCCCTATTAAAAAAATCCGGGGACTAATTTAGCACTTTTATAACTCTGAGACTAAAATGACACAATGTAAATAGACAGAGGACTGTTTTGATACTTAATATATTTTCTACTTGTTGATATGCTTTATATCTTTCAGCAATGTTCTGTTTCAGGTTTTTGATTTGGTTAATCGTGAGAGCTATAATCCTTCACCTGGAGTTAATGTGATAGCAATGCGAGAAGATCGGTTACACTTATCAATTGGTCAAGAAACTTCTGTGTCATTTTGCCTCTTACAATCTGTTGAAGAAGAGACTGACTCAAAAGATCAGGCTCAGAATAGGGAGAATAGGATTTCCAGTCATGATTCTTCTGATTTAGTAACAGGGGAGGACAAATATGATTCTTGTACAAGGAATTATCTCAACTTTCCCGATCCAGTCAGTTTAGAAATTTTCTTGCAGGATCTTTTTCATGAAAATGTGTTTTTAAAATCCAAACAGAGAAGCAGTTTTGGTCCTCGACCTCTTGTGTCGGGTCAGACCATAGGTGATGGGTGCAGTTTTTTTGGTCATTTTTGTATGACAATTGCCCACAGATTTTTTTGCAGGAAAGTAATGTCTATGCTTGAAGTTCTGGTATGTTATTTTCCGTGTTTCATCGATTTTTTGGCATTTTATTTGTGAGGGAACTGAAGCAGACCGTGTCATTTTCTGTCGACACATAGGTAGGAGGAGTTCCTTATCTCCATTTGTTATCTCATCCTACTTGGCATTCACGGATATCTTCATGGTCACTTTCTTTGAAGGTTCCTCAGACAATTCTCCATTCCAGCAGAAGGATTAATCCATCAGGCAGTAACGATTTGAAGAGCGGGATTAGGTCTCAGTTTAACACTAAGGTAGTGGTAAATGATGACCAGATTAGTGTGAGTGGAGAAGGAACTCCGGGTATTGCTGGTTCATTAAGAGGAGATTTCACAGATAGTTGGTCAGTAAACAGTTATGGCTGTGATTTGGTTGATCTTCCTATGGTTATTCTGCATCAGGTATTTTTATGTTTATGAAATATGTACCAGGGCCCTTCTTTGATTTTAGATTCATGTTTATGAAAATTTGCCGCTTAATGGTTATATCTTATAAAGAAAAAAGGTTGGGGAGAAAAGGAGTACTCTCATTCAGTCTTCTAAACATTTTCTGAACATAGCACACAGTTCTGCTGTGTTTACATGTCCAACACCTATACTTTCATATTTACAAACGTAGCACTCAAATCTATAATATCACATCTCAGATGTCACTATTGTAACTTTTTTAAAGTCAGATACACATTTTCATGCATAAGTTTAAAGCTCCAAAGTGCTATATGTGTTTAAATAAGACAGTTTAGGTGTGAGATATGTAAATACATATGACGTTTGTAAATTTACCTTGAATCTTAGGCTTCTATGATAAATTTGGCCTAGTGCGTGTTGTAACTTAAAAGAGAACAATGAACGAAAAGGAGAAACCTAACTTTTTCCTTTGAAAGTTTCTGTAATGAAAAATTAGCGTATGAATCTTCATCTTTCAAGATTATAATACTCCAATCAAAGCTCATCTTCTCTTTTGTATTACAACACAATACTTATGTCGTGCTCAAACCGTTTTCGTTGATGCAGTCAAAATATAATGACTGAATCGCCCCTCAAATGTCTCTATGAATGGCTGAGGTTTTTAACCCCTTACATCTACAAGCTTTTCATTTTTCCAACACCGTGCTCAAACCGTTCTTGTTGATGCAGTAAAAAAATAATGACTGAATCGCCCCTCAAATGTCTCTATGAGTGGTTGATGTTTTTCACCCCTTACATCTACAAGCTTTTCATTTTTCCAACACTTAATGTACAAATATAGTTTTTTGATGTAATTTTTCTTTGATCTTCTTGAATTAGTGAATAATTACTCCACTGATTGTTTACCAAAATTTGTAAGCGTTTGACATGTCGTTTTTGTACGGGAGGATGGCCTATCTAATCTAACAGTTAACTTATAGGAAGATTTACATACATTTCATTCAATTCCTATATATTTATAGATCTAACACCTAAACTTCAATTTTTACATACACGGCACCTTACCTATGCTTGAAAAGGCGTCTTTCACTTTTTAAAAGCTAGAATGGTCGTATTATGTATGTGTTATTAAAGACTTGTGTGGTGTAAATATAAAAAAAAATTTTGGGTGTAAAGATAAGTAAATGCATAAGAATTTGGTGGTCGATATTACATGCCCCTAAATTATAAAATGTTATCAGCTTGCATGTATTTTTTCGAATTACCAAACAGCCCCGTTTCCCTCTTCCAGCTTAAAAATACCATCTTCAATAGGCCTAATCTCTTTTTGTTGGGGCAGTTACAAACATAGCACACAATTCTAATGTATTTGCACACATAATACTCAAATTTTTAATATCACATAAAAATAGCACTATTACCACTTTATAAAAGTGAAATTCACCTTTTCAAGCATAAGTAAGCGCCAAAATGCTATGTATGTAAATATGAAAGCTTAGGTGTGACGGATGTAAATACATAAGAATTGTTTGCTCGGTATGTAAATTTCTCTTTATGTTTTCCCAGGTTGCCAACCAAATCATTCATTGGCTTCATGAGGAGGCCTTGATTGTTGGCATGAAGGTGAGCAGGGCCTTCCTATGTCTGTACTTTGATCTAGACCAGGGGGAAACTCTGGGACTCCTGGCCAATGTGGACGCTGAAGATGTTGAAGGTTTTATCTCGTGGTGGTTGGTTTTTGATGACGGCTCTATGGAAGAGGGAAATTTAGCAGAAAACAGCGTTGAATCCCGAAACCGTATATTTTTGGGACATCTATCTCTCGAGGCTTTGTATTCTACACTCATGGATTTCGTCAGTTTTTGTGGCTCTGGTGGAAGCCATTGATAACCTGTGCACGCTTGGAAGCTGTATCGATGAGGGCTGAATGTGCAAAAAAAAATTCAATCTGAATACTTCTGGAAGTGTTGGGTTATCCAAGTGTATGCAGTATGCAGTTCTTCACTTATTTACTACATGCTTGAGTGTTCTCCTGAATTGTGCCCAGATTTTGTTAGATTGATAAGTATATGTTTTAAAGCTTGTTACTTTAGGCTTTGTTTTAGTAATTTAACTCTTTTTATGCATCAATTTATATATTTCTAATGATAAATTAAGATATTGCGCTAGTTTGTTGTGGGGGGAGGAAAATAATCATATTTATATTATATTTATTTTATTTATAATAATGTGTATTACATTGATTTAGCAAATAAATAAATAAGTCAGATTAGAGCTGGACCTTTCATATAAATTTATTAATAAATGATTATAAATTTAGTTAATTTAATAAACTTCGAATTTTATATTAGAAATTTTTGCCCTTTGAATAATAAATAAATTTTTTAGTGGAATGAGACAAATAAGTTGTACGGGCATTTGCAAAAATAATACATAATTTTTATGTATTTACATATCTAACACCCAACATTCTGATATCTACATGCATTTTTGATATCAAAATGTTATTTCTGTAAACATTAAACTTGGGTTTTGGATATGTAAATATATAAGACTCGTGTGGTCTTTATATATATATTTTTATTTTGTGTTAAATTATAATATGCTATTATTAAATATGTAGTTAAATAATTTATAGTTAATGAAATTTTATTTATTATTTGAA